GGAAAACTACTGTGATAAAAATCAGCATGGTACTGGCTTTAAAAAAAAAATGAAGATCAATGAACAGATTAAAAGATGCAAAAATAATTTTAGTCATACTCAGCAACCTTATCTTTGTCAAAGGTGTCAAACACATTAACTAGAAGAAAACCTCTTTAATAAACAGTGCTAGGAAAACTGGCTTTCCACAAGTTAAATTAAAATTAAACCCCTATCTTCCATTATGTGCTAAATTAAAATCAAAATGGATCAAAGATGCACACATTAAAACAGGAACATTAAATCTCCTGTAAGAATAGGTAGAACTCTTGAAGACATCACCATAAGCAAAGATTTTTATGAACAAAACCCCAATTGCATAGGAAATATCACAAAGAATCAACAACTGAGATCTCATCTTATTAAACTGCTTTGTATGGCATAAGAAATCACCAAAGAGTGAAAAGACAATCCACAGTGTACGAAAAAAATCTTTTGCAACTATTCCTTGGACAAAGGGCTACTATCTAAAATATATAAAGAACACACACACTAAAAAAATCATATCAACTCTTCCCCAAATTTAAACACTCAATCCAAAAATAGGCTTATAAGATAAACACACACTTCTCATATGAAGAAGTACAAGCAGCAAATAAATATATGAAAAAATGTTCAACATCATTGGCCATTCAAGAGATGCAAATTAAAGCAACACTGAGATTCCATCTCACCCCAGAAAGAATTGTTATTATCAAGAAACAAACCAATAAAAAATTCTGGTGGGGATGTGGGGAAAAACGAACTCTTCTCTACTGTTGGTGGGAATATACACTCATAAAACCACTGCGGAAATCAGTGTGGATATTCCTCAAACAACTAGGACTAGTAATTCCATTTGACATAACTTTTCCCCTTCCAGGATCTTCCCAAAAGAATTAAAAGCATAATATCACAGCAATATATGCACACCCATATTTACAGAGTCACAGTTTATAACAGCCAAATCTTGTAAACATCCCTAATGCCCATCAACTGGTGAATGGATAAAGATGTGGGTTTTTGGTACAATGGAGTCCTACTCTGCCATAAAGAATGATAAGCTCAAGGCATATCTAGGTAAATGGATATACCTTGAGATCATACTCTTAAATGAAATAAACTGAACACACATTCAAATACTGCACTGTTTCTCTGTTGTGAGAAACCAAAAATATAAATAAGGGCCAAAATGCATAATACATATTGTGAAACAGGAAAATAATGTTTAAATGCAGAAGGGAACCAAAGAAGGGGAGGAAGAAAAGAAAAAAATGGAAAAGGAAGAAAATGGAAACAAAGCTTTTTTTTCTTTTGGGGGGCGGGTAACCAGGAATTGAACTCACAATCTGGTGCTTGCCAGATAGGCACTTATGCTGCTGAGCTAAATCCCTGGCCTAGAAAACACAGCTTTTGTAAATAGGTAGTGGGGTAGGGGTTCATGTAAGAGTAGGGGAATAGGAAAAATAAAAGAAATAAGTTATATCGTGTACAGGTGGGTACAAAGTATGATGGAAATGATCATTATGTGCATTTAAAATGTACCACTAATATCTAATTGGGAAAAAAAGTAAAATCAAGGATATTATCTAAGTACTAATATTAAAAAATATTCACAAATATTTTATTAGCAATTTCAAAATGTATGGGAATATTTATTGTAATATTCACCTATGAATAAGAAATAGGGAAATCTTTTAAGGATAATTCTTCTCTTCTTTGAAGTTAAAAGTTAGTGCTTATCATCAAAAACAACTCTAAATGCTCACCTGTTAATGCAGACTTACAATGAGATTTTATGTATGTCACCTTTGAAATGTCTCTTCACACTAACTGATAAGACCAAATAGCAATACCAGTCTAACCCAAGAGAATACGATTTGTTTTTCGGTACTAGAGTGTGAACCTAGGGCCTTCACACTGACCAACGTTCCTAGTCCTTTTTCATTTTGAGACAAGTTCTAAGTCTCTAAGTTGTGCAGTAAGGTCTTGAACTTGCAGTCAATCTGCCTCAGCTTCCCAGAGGACTGGGATTATAGGTGCATGCCACCACAACCAGCTACATAATGTTATTTGAGTATATCAGTAGACATAACATTGCTGCATAATAAACACAATGCTTTTGTGTTTAATTCACAACAAAATAATCCACACTCTTCTGCATCTAAAATGAAGTGTTCAAAATCCATTTTCACTTCTTATTTTAAGAGAAGGCATGAACTGATGATAAAAAATAAATGCAGTGTTGCAGTCACCAATATGTGTGGCAATCAAAATCATGTTAAATTACTCAGGTGTGACTGTGATTTGTATTGTGTCAATCAGCAGTATGAAATGATTAACGTACAACATACGTTTGCTGTCGTGCTATAACTGCTTGACTGCTATGTAACAAGAAATCACCCATAGATCACAGATAAATAATTGAATGTGGTTATATGCCAATAAAATTTTATTTATGTACTCTTATATTCAAATTTCATATAACTTTCATGTGTCACCGTGTATATTCCTTCCTTTGTTTTTTTTCAGCCATTTAAAAATATAAACAGCATTCTTAGTTCATGGGCTATACTAAAATAGGTACCAAGATGGACTTGGTGCACAGACTATAAACAGGTTACTGACTCATTATCTGCAAGATGCCAGAGAATCACTTTTTCATATAGAGAGCTACTATGCTTCAATTAAGAGATCCTATTTCTATTCTATTATAAATTTCACATAGTCTAATTTTAAATAGTAAAAAATGAGACAGCCACCTGAGCCCCATGCTGGACCAACAAGAAACTGAAAAGTACACACCTTGTGCACCACTGCCAGCCCTGCACTGATGCCAGGTCTCTATGGCAAAGGACAACAGAGCCTTTGCCAAGGAGACCAACAGAAAAACCTGACTGAAGAAGACAACACCCAGGAGACCTCCCCTCAGGACTGAAGTCACACCCTTCTACAGTCACTGGGTGAAAGACAGCCTTTTCACTGTGGGAGGCCAGCACCAGTGGCAGTAATCAGTAGAAGAAGAAGGCATACAGTTTAGTGATGTTAGAGCTCTGGCATTGCTGCCAACATCCAGCCTCTTTAATGAACAGTGCTGGGAAAACTAGATATCCACATGCAGAAGATTAAGTGTAGACCTATACATCTCACCACATGTTAAATTAAAATAAAGGAGATCAAAGATCTAAATATTAAAACAAAAACAATCAGCTGAAAGATTAAAAAAAAAAGTACAACTCGAAGACAAAGGCATATAAGTCAAGGACTTTCTGAACAGAACCCCAATGACACAAGAAGTAACACTGGAATCAATATGGGACTATATCAAATTAAAAAGTTTTGGCACAACAAAGGATACAAACAACAGAATGAGGAGGTAGAATGGAAAAAAAAAATTTTAGCTATTCCACAGACATAGGACTAACATCGAAAATATATAAAAAGGACCAGGGACTTAGCTCAGTGGCATAAGCACCTGCCTGGCAAGCACAAGGTCCTTTCTTGATGGACTGACCAAAAATATGACTTGAAAAAATCTGTATGGGCCAAGAGTGAGTCACACATCACATCTCATCATAACTTAAAAATAATGATTAATGAGTCTAATTCTATTCCCATTCTGCCTTAAAATACAAAAAAACAAATTCTTCTTTGATTATAAAATCTCTGCTTGTACATAAGCCTGTAATAGATGGCTATTTTTACTTTTACCATATTATACTCCAGTGTCTACATGTTCATTCATTTTGGTATTTATGAAAAAAGTCAATATCAATATAAACCTTATGAAGACATTAACCCATATAACCTTAACTATGTACTAGAGATTTTGATGAATAAGCAAGTTATTTGTGAGCAACCCAGAGATAACAAAAAAAAAAAAAAAAATCAGGGGTAATTTAGGCTATGTTTCTTTACCATCCAGCCAATGAATTAAGATATAAATTGATTCACTGCATAGAAACTGAGAAATTCCACCAATCATCCTACGCCCTGGTTCCCATTCTACTATTTACAAAAGGGTTTCTCAATCTCAGCGCTAGTGATGTTGGTGCCAGATCATTCTTTCTTGTGAGAGGCAGTCCTATATACTACAGATACTTAGCGCAAGCTCATGTTTCCAGGCATTGTCAAATATACCTTGAAAGACAAAATCAGCACTGGTGAGAATTACTAGCTTAGAGATACCTATTGCTGTAAATGTCAAAGTCAATAAATAATCAAGAGACCCCCGTGCAGAAGGATATCAAAAACTAAGGGAACAACTTCAAGAATCCCAGTAGAAAACATTGCGGAATGCAGGGTTTTCCCACACCTCCTTTGGAAGCAATTGTCCCTAATTGTCCAACCTTCATTTTGAAAGGTGATTTATGAAAAGGCAATTGTTCCTGTTATATGTCCAGCTTTGAAAATGTAAAATCCCTTTCCAAGAACTAATCCCAAAATACTACGTTTAGAAATATCTGTATCTCTACAATGTTACTGAACATTAGCAGACTGTATAATTACATTATGTAAGGAATCCGGGCTGACTTATTTGAGGTAAAATTTAAACAAATAAAATAATGAATTTAACTTAATATTGAAAAGACATGAGTAAATAAATATTTCTAGCTATTCTTCTGATACAAAGATAAGCACATATGTTCACTGATAAACACATTTTTGTGCGATCCCAAAATGGACCTACCAATTAGTACTGACAATAAAATGAAATAAAACATGTAATTGAAAAAATAAATCATTATTCCAATATAAGATACTGGGTAAATTAATGTAACTTCACACAAAACAATGGTTTTCATAATTACCAAAATTAGTGATGATGCTGAGCAAAAGTAACATTTCTCAAAATATAATATTATTCAAATTTAACTTACTTTTCATTATTTAAAAAAATTTGGAGACTTTAAATGTGATGAAATACAACTATAAAACAATAATTCATATTTAAACTATAAATTTTCTCAAATTTTACTTACATTATTTGTAAACTTTCTGCTGTTAAATTATTCCACATGATCTCATTTGCCTGAAGGTTTTCATTTTCTTCTAATAAGGAAGTATCAAATACAATTTCTTGTTCTTTAGCAGCTGTTGTTCTAGTGAAGTATGTCAAATAATTCTGGTCAATATTAGTAAGTTATCATAACATATACACATATTAGTACACACTGAATACAGAGTATTTATTCTTATTCAAAATTATATAACAAAGTAGATACAAATAGTATGAAGTAAATTCTAGTCACTGAAGATCTAATTATGCAACTTGTATCTTAAGTCTCCTCATTTATAAAATATAGATATTAACTTGTCTCAATTCTACTAAGTATAAAAGAAGAGATAGGGAAGTAACTTGTAACTCAGTAATATGGTAAGTAAAAATTTTTAAGAATAATTATATAAATTAACAGGATTTTTGAAAAGTTAAAGGAGACAATTTAATCTACAATAAACTATTTTTTAAATATTTCTTATTTTAATTTTGATAATTTTTAAAATACAATATTTTCGTAATTATTTAAAGAGAAATGAAAATATCATACCGATGAACGTCTATGAAATTATTGTACTCTGTGCTAGGATCTATCTGTTCGACTGACATTTGAATTTCTTGATGAACATTTACTATTTCCTCTGTAACAAGACTGGTTATCTGGCTGTATTCATCAAAGATACCTTTTCTGAAAACAAAAATAAAATTTTATAACATTTTAAAGTTTTATCAAGGGAAACAGAGGCCCAAAAAGGACTCAGAACAACAGACATAGGAAACAATATCAGTATTTACAGACAGTCATTTCATGCACCATCTTATTTCATCTACCTGGAGAAAAAGAGATTATATAAATGTACAGATTAGCACTTTATATTTGATAACTACAATAACTATAAATAACCTAGAAAAATACACTACCTTTTCAAGCTCATATATGACATGCACGATATATAAAGACAGTAATTTTTTCTAAATACTCTCATAGAAATTTTGGATTCTGTAACATGGAACCCTGGTTATTTCCTGCAATTTTAGTGTTCCCTTCCATTACCTGGCACTCCTCACACAACCTGCCTCATGGTTCTTCTCTTGTTCTTGGTCCTTTGTTCCTTTTTCTATATCCTGTTTAATTTTACTAGTTGTTCCTTCAATGAAATCTACATCTCTTTTTCTGACCTCCAGTCAATAGCAAAACATCACCAACATCATTTGCATAGTCCAGTAAATGTGAAAAAAAGGTCTACCACAAACATCAATCCTCTCCTCAAAAATCTACACTGCAACACTAAATAAAACTAAAGCTTATAAGTGCTATGCTGTAAAAATATGCCATTGGTTATCAATAACTTCAACACTAAGTGTGGATAGTAAGTTTATCCTGCATATGGCCAAACATATAAAAAGAATGTCTTTTCTTTCTAAAAACCATTATTCATGAATGAAAATCATTATTCCTAAAGTTCCCTTATTATAAAGTGTTCTCTCAAGTACTACTTTATTGTAAAAAGGAAAATAATGTTTGGATTAAAGAAAATAGGATTTAAACTGGTTAAGGCAATGCTACATTCAAATGATTACTGAAATCAACTGACAGACATAATTTAAAGAAAAGAAAAAGGAAGAAAAATGTAAATAAAGATATAGCAATATTCCTGGTGGTAAGGTGTTAACACATGGAAACCATAAAATGGTTATGACATGGAAATTATTAATATTTGCCCTTAAGAAAATGCAGGGCAGGCTACCTATCACATGGGATTTAATTTCAGTGATAATATAATGCTTGGGTTATTAAAATGCTAGATTTAAAATAATAGATTACAAAATGAAGATAATATGCTGTGAGAAACTATTTTGTCTAAAAAATGTTCTAGTTATTGAAAATTCATGTCAACAGTTTAAAAAATATTGATTACAATGTGAGAGTAGGAAAGTTTCTAAATTTTGCAATATAATTTAAAGTAAACTTATAAATTAAATATTTTAAATAGATAATTCACTATTTTATTAATAATTTTTTATATTCAAGCTGACTAAAAACTTTATCTACTTACTGTGACTATAGGTATAATCTAAAATTTAGTCTTACCTCTAACAAAGTATGTATCTAGTTATCTTCATAATTTTACAGAAAGAGAAGCAAAAGTAAGTCAGGCAGAGTCTGAAAGGCAGCAAAGACAAATTTGATCTCCTAATTTCAGAGGTTCCAGAAGTCATTACTACTCAAAAAATATTCAGAACCTAAATCTCTTATGTAAAATAATTCTATATCAGTGGAATAATGTAACTACGATAGGTTGTTATACTAAATCTGTTAAAGCACTAGGGAGTCCTTCAAAGGAAACAATGAAGTCATTTACTGAGGTTAATTAATATCAAGGTAATTACTGATTAGGTATTAGGAAATTTTAAAACATTCCCCTTTCTATATAATTATTAAAACAGAAAATGTGTTGACTTTGCAACTTGGAAAAATTATCTCCAGCTTAAAAGCACCAGTGTTGCTGGGCTAGTAGTGACCAACTCCAAATTCTCTGTCTCAGTCTTCACATAGCATTCTATCTTTCCTCTCTCCTTCCCTCTTATAAAAATTCCAGTTATTGGATTTAGGGAATACTTTAAATCCAGGACTATTTCATCTCGAAATCTTTAATTAATTACCAGGTCTGCAAAGATTCTATGTCCAAATATGGTCACAATTGAGATTCTAGCCACACAGGACTTTTAAGAGCACAATGGGCTGGTCAACGCACCATATCCTACTCATAGAAAGAAAGCTGGATCAATTAGAAGACCTGGCTGCAAAGCTGAAATCTCCTACCTCTTAGCTTTGTGATCTTGGCCAGTACAGATCTGTCTGTCACAGATATAGCCTGAATAAAACCTGCTCTTCCTAATTCTTCAGGACACTGTACAGAACAAGGGAGCAAATAAGTAAACACACATGAAAGTGCTTTACAAACCACAATATATTGTACAATACTTTGTTTTAGAAATTACCATTTTACCTTTTATAGTTACTCTGGCACCTATCAAGTTGTATGATACTCAGACTTCCTTTTACATTAGGACCTAAACAATGTTCACAATCATCTTTCATTTTAATTTACTGCTATATTCCAAAGTGCACAAATAGTAAATGTTCATAGGTTAATTTATGGAATTATAGGTAAATTCACTAGAACACAAGAACTTGTACTTAACTGGCCCAAGTTCTTTGTGTCATAATTCACCACAATTTGTGAACTTTACCTCTGAGAGATAAGTAAACATCGATTTCTTCTCTGACTTTCCTTCATTACAACCTCATTTCCATTTCAATCTTTCCCAACCCTACTAATGCAAAGCAACTCTGTTACTGAAGAATTCTACGCACATTCTGTGTGAAAGAAAATTGAATATAATATTTGGGAAGAGCTTAATCAGCTAATAAAAAATATGAAGTCCATTCTAACGGGTTCTTATCTTTACCCTGTTGTTTTACATCAGTACATGCAAGTAATTTACTGATAAAAGCACACTGTTACCTCCTTGGAAGCAAGAACTATAATGTGCACATTTCCACCTCAAATAACATTTATTGATTTTAATTTCATACAGGAATAAAAAGAGCAAGCTGGTAAATAAGCCTTTAAAAAATTCTTAAAACTTCTCAGTTCAAGATTTAGAAGTTCAGCCATCTGAAGGTAGTTATTCACTTATTAATACTTGTCAACTAATTCATTATTTTTCACTTAAAATTGTAGCTAAAAAGAATAAAGTAGAAATACATGCTAAAAGGACCATTCTTGGACCTTGCTAAAAAGTGAACGAGATGAGTACATCAGAAGGAGCACCAGAAGTGAAAGTCAAGAACGAAGAAAAAATGGTTCTGGAAACCCACCAGAGCAGATAATAATGCAGCTCAGGAAGCAAAGCTTAACTATAGGAAAAATATTTTGAAATTATTTTTGGAGAAATTTTACGATAAATAGAAACTATATCTTACAGTGCTTTTATCATTTCTTCTTGCATTTTCTGTAAAGAATCCAGAAGCAGAGGAAGCGTGGTATCATAATACTGATTTTGATGAAGCTGAGCCCCTTTCAATGCCAACACATACTGATTATGCAGCACATGAAGTTTCATTGTGGCTTTGTCATAACGTTCCTTGGCCTTTTCTGTTTCCTTCCCTGAAGAAAACACAGAAGCAAAAAGATAAGTAAGTTTTATCTTCACTATATACAGTATGGATTAGCATTAGTTTATATTATTTCATAATTTGTAAAAATCATAATTTTATTGAATATATACTATATGTGGAGTTTTATGAAAAACTATTTAACAGTTCAACAGATACTACCACAAAAAGGCGCATGATATATAGTATAATATGTAGTGACTCAAAATAAATATACTACTCAAAAACTGTGGTTATACAAAACATTCAAGGAGCTCATATCAAATCAGAACAGCAATACACATGAAACTCTATAAACAAGAAAGCTTGAAAATAATGTTAAATTTTAGCCAGGGATGTAGCTCAGTGGCACAAGTACCTGTCTGGCAAGCACACGTCAGTACAAAAAAAATGGTTAAATTCTGAGGTCTAAGACATTGGTAAGATAAATACAATCAAAAGAAGCTTTGTAGGGAAAGCGGACTTTTAAGGATGTGGTACATATAAAAATGTGTAAGTTAGACAATAATTCCTCCTATTCAATGATTATGAACTGAAGATTATTCAGAATTCTACTAAACATTCAGAATTTAGAATATGAAAACAGAGTCCTTGATGTACAGCCTGGTAAATGGAATACTGAATGACTCTATGTAAAGAAAAAGCAATGTGACATAGGTAAGACGAGAAAGCAGCTTGGGGGTGAGGGATGAAGCAATACAGCATCTGTATAGACAGGACAATGCTAGGCATTGAATGACCTGAAATCTAAGCAGAGGAATTCAGACTTATGTGCAAGTAATACAAGAGATGTTCACAATGTAATTAATCAAAAGTTTGGTGGTTCTTTTTTATATTTATAAAATATTGACAGATTACCAAAACAAGAGAATGAATATATAAATAAAGTAAAATTTTAAACAAATATTTTTGGCATTAATAGAGTAAACTATTTTTATCAACTGAGATTTAGAAACTTTTAAAAGGATTTATTAGTTTTTTTTCCCAAGGAAATCCTACTAATTAATGCTATCCCTGAAACAAACTTTATATTGAGAATTTTTGACGCCAGATAATTTCCTCTGTTTAGGCTCAATAACCACTTGTATATGAACAACAAAATGAAAAACACAAATCCTTTGCATTTCTCTTTTCCTTTGTAATTCTGAATCATTGGGACTACACACATAAAAGGAAAGAAACCTTCCAACAGACTGAAATATTACTACTAACACAAATTCTAGTGTTTCCAAGTACTGTTAGAACCATTGACCTTTCCTCAGGGAAATACACAATTATTTTACAGAATATAACTCTTTAGCTATAGTCCATCATTACCCGGCTTCTGCACACAGGGATATTAATAACTCTCCAAGTTATTTCACAAAATGTTGACCCAGAAGATCTATTTTACTTTATAACATCAAGAACTTCTCAATGACAAAAAAGTATTTTTTTTCATAAGAGTACTTTATTCTCTTTCATTGTTGGTTAACAGATTCTAATACTACATTGGCAAAAAGGAATTAAATATTTAATTCAGTTCTGATATGAAGGAAATCAGAGGAAAAAAAAACTTAAAATACCAAAGAATTAGTTCTTCACCCTTTTTTGACTACAACCCACAGCATGGTATATCTTATTCCATGCACCAGTACCACAGTTACCTAAATAATTAGATAAAATAGGTAAAACTCTTTAAGATGTAGGTGTAGGCAAAGACTTTCTCAAGTGAACTGGAATGACACAAGAAACAGTACCATAAATCAACAAATGGGATATATCAAATTAAACAGTTTCTGTAGAGCAAAAAGAGTCAACCAATAGAATGAAGAGACAACCTACGGAATAGGGAAAAAAATTTGCCAGCTATTCCTCAGCAAACTAGTATCTAGAATATATAAAGAATTCAAAACAATTCGACTTCCCCAATTAAAAAAAAACAATTGAAAATAGGCAGCAAAAATGAATAAATACCTCCCAGAAGAAATACAAATGATCAATAAACACATGAAGAAACATTAGAGAAATGCACATTAAAAAACACTGAGATTCCATTTTATTCCAGAAAGAATGGCTATCACTAAGAAACCAAAGAGTAACAAATGCTAGTGAGGCTGCTGGGGAAAAAAAATCCCTTCCACATTGCTAGTGAGAATGTAAACTAGTATAATTACTATGGAGATCAATACAGGGATTCTTCTTCAAATACTACAACTAGAAATTCCATTTGACCCAGTTACTTTCCTACTACGTATCTTCCCCAAGGAATTAAAGACATTATATTACACTCATACATGTATTTCCATGGTTACAGCAGCACAATTCACAAGAGCTAAGTCTCCAAGGTAGCCTACATGTCCATCAACAAATGAATGGATAGAGAAACTATGGTATTTATACAATGGAGCACTACTCTTCCACATCTATATAGAAGGATAAATAAGTCATTTGTAGTAAAAAGGAATGCACTTTGCAACTAAAATGTTACATAAAGTAAATCAGACACATAAGTTTAAACATTACCTGGCTGTTCTTATATAAGAAGCTCAAAATATAAATAAAAAGCAGAATAAAAAACAGATAATAAGGAAGGAGACAAAGATTTTTTTTCATAGGATCAAGACATGGACGGAATAGGGAGGAAAAGGAGATGAAAAAGAATGGAGATGAGTTATGTACGTATACCAACTCCTCACAAAAAATGTAATCATTATGTAATGCAAATATGTACAAATAAAAATAAAAACTGGGGAAAAAATTTAGGGCTTTGATTAGGTGTCAAGTAATTAAGTGTCAAAAAAGTGAGGTATGCTTTGTAATTTTGTTGTTATTGTTTGTTTGTTTTTTTAGACAAGGTCTTGTTATGTAGCATAGGCTGGCCTTCATTCAACTTATGACAAGTCTCCTGCCTCAGCCTCCTGAGTGCTGGGATTACAGGCATGTGCCACTATATCTGGTTTGCTCTGCGGTCTTTTAAAAATTCTATTCTATTTGAATTTTTAATATTTAAAAATGTTTATTTGAATCAAATAAGCTTTTTTCATCAGTTAATATAAATCCCTCAAGGAGTGCAAATTCATTCTATATGTATATGCAATAATTTTAAAAGTGTAGCAACTAATAAATGACTTTAATATATTGTTACTTCACAGAATACATAACATTTTTATATGTGAATATTGATGCTTAACACCCTTCTTTCAGAAATACATTTGATTAAAAGTCCTCAAGAATCATTGCAAGCGACATGTCTGCAGCTAGTCCTGAAGGTTTCTTCTACAAATAACTGCCTCCTGTTTCTCCTCACCCACACAAGTCAGGATGAAACTCCTGTACGTTCAGCTAGCACTCAAGATCCAAGATGCATACCTGCCCATACAGAAACTCATCTTCTGGGTAACATGCTAGGTGACATTATGGCTAAATGAATTGACAGTTTACCAGCTCCAACCGAAACTGCTGAAGCAGCACAACCACTGTCCTTATGAGGTTCATTTTAATGATTTTTTTTTATTTTTGTCTGTGTTTTAATTCACTATTTTAAAAACTAATTTGTTTCTGTTACTTTAAACAGAACAAATTACTTTTGACAACAATTCAAAAGATCATGTACAACTATCCAGATAAATCAATTACAAGTAATAAGCTATAGTCTACATGTTCATAATAAGAAAATAAGCAGGTACCAGGCAAAAGTATTTGAGTACTGCACTCTAATCCATTAACTTTTATTGGAAGCTAAAAAAATATAACTAATGAATTCAATTTCTTCCATATTTAATGTTATGCTTTTAAAAACTCACTCTTGTATGAATTCTACTACTAATTAACTCTTAAAATTTTTAGCTTAACTTTAGGCGTCATGATCTTGACACAAATATTTTCATAGTCATTTTAACCACTTAAATCACCCATCTGTCTTCCTATTTGCACAGATTTTTAAACTGCATACTACCCATCTGTCTTTCTATCTGGTGCACAATGAATGCACTAAATACATAACACCCAAGTCACTAAGATTTTAGGCTACAAACAACATTAGGAAAGTTAAGAATTTCACAGATGCTTTTTCTCTTTATATGTACACTGAATGACCAAACCTGACAAAGACTATCATAGCCAAAATCTAATTATCAACCATTTATCAGTAGTTAATAATACTTAAGAAAACATTAAATACCTCTGAAAATACCCAATGCAGAATCCATTATACTAAAATAATAACTACAACAATAGCATTAATAAATTCTTCAAAAACACTCTGCACTTTAAAATTGAATTTAAGCTTATGCTTTAGTATGTTTCTTCGGAAGAAGGGTGCTCTACAGCGTATACATTTTTTAAAAGGATTGCACCCAAGGCCTCCACACTGAGCTACATTTCCAGTCCTTTTATTTTTCATTTTGAGATAAGAGTCTCACTAAATTATTCAGGATGGGTTTAAACTTGCAGTCCTCTTGCCTCAGTCCCCTGAGTGCTCAGATTATATGTGTGGGCCACCGCACTCAAGTGCTCACACATGCGCTGCATTCGCTTGTAAGGTGTCCTGTAGCATGCACACTGCCTGTCAATTTATCTACCTGTCTATCCCTCTCTTCCTTCCTTGTAAGTATGATTCTCAAGATTTGGAAAGGAATTTAACTGTACTTGTCCCTGAATTGTTTAAAGTAAACATTGAAAGTCAGGTAAAGACTAAATAACACCCAAAAATGTTAATATTATATGAAGACCAAAGTTACAATAAATTTTTTAATTCTATTCAGTTGCTAAAATTATTTCCAGAAACTGATACAATTCTTGCCATATAGCTTGTTGACTCAGAGCACTAGACTCTAGAACACTAGAATACTTTCTTAACTTTTAAATATCCACATGAGAAATTAAAGGTTATGTAAAATACCTATGCTGAATAAATCATTATCAACAAGGCATTGTCATTCTGCTGTAATATCCTTTTTCTTAGACGGTAAGAGGCACAGACACAGGGCATGGCGTTGTTCTGTGTCAATT